AGCTGGGCCGGTGCGTGCTGTGATTGGTTAGCTGGGCCGGTGCGTGCTGTGATTGGTTAGCTGGGCCGGTGCGTGCTGTGATTGGTTAGCTGGGCCGGTGCGTGCTGTGATTGGTTAGCTGGGCCGGTGCGTGCTGTGATTGGTTAGCTGGGCCGGTGCGTGCTGTGATTGGTTAGCTGGGCCGGTGCGTGCTGTGATTGGTTAGCTGGGCCGGTGCGTGCTGTGATTGGTTAGCTGGGCCGGTGCGTGCTGTGATTGGTTAGCTGGGCCGGTGCGTGCTGTGATTGGTTAGCTGGGCCAGTGCGTGTTGTGATTGGCTCACTCGGCGCCTGGTCGGGAAATGTCATGCCCCCAACCATAGCCGCCTGCGAGCTTCAGTGTAAATATTACATCAAAATCAAATCAATTTGAGCGCAACTTAAACCCGGATGATTGTAACCACTCTAAGTTCGTCTGTCTTGTGAAAGCTAGCGTGTCTCCAGCATAGTGATAACACTCGTTGCCTTCTCTAGTGCAGCTCAACCAGGTCTCGTCCCATTCGTCGATATTTGTGATATCACAAATCTCTGAAAATATGCGCTGTAGTCCAAACGAGTCGTTCGTTGTAGAAAAGTGATTTCTGTTAAACAAAATATCTCCTTTTGAAGTGGACTTTGAGCTTTGTAACTCTGCAGATCTTTTTTATGCTCAAACAGCAACATTACAGACTAACTAAAGCTGAAAAAGTGAAGAAGCATAACAGCCCCCCTTTAAAGCTCAATAGCATTTGAGCAGAATGACTTACAAATGTAGAAATTGTAAAATGAATGTATTTCAAAAGTTCCATTAAACAACAATGAAAAACAACAACAATGACAACTGTGATACTTCATAATTTTTATTGTTCAATTCTTATCTTTTCAATAATATTTTCATATTTTCCCAGGACCACCCCCAACCCCTAGACCACCACCAATTCCTACCTTTTACATAAAATAACTATAATACATTATTTATCCTGGAATTTATAATTATTTACATAGGCAGCACTTCCAATCAATATTTCAAGCCCTGTTGAACTGGCTGTCTGTCATTGGAATGCATGCCACATGGAACCACCTCCTGCATTGATGACATTCGATCTGAAAAAAAAAAGATAATAATCTTATCAAATTGAATAAAAGCTAAAAATGGCTTTGTACAACAGGCCTCTGATCAACAGTTGTTGTTTGGGCAATAACTTAAGTATCTTAAAGACAGTTACAGCAGTCAAAGAAAATCTAATCAAAAGTCAAGGGTCAGGAGCCCAACTAAAGCCAACACTGATCTCCACAATGGAAACAACAAACAAAACCATAAAACATCATCATCTAAACCACCTAAGAACTTCTGTAGACATATGACAGATATAAAAGTTAATCTAGTTATTATTGATCGAAGCTTGTGCTGTTTGTGGAGTTGATTTCATGTAAGGCTGTGGCTGAAGTCAGTTGTAGTTCTTGTGTTTCTGCTCATCTCGTCTCTTTTTTTTATTCCTGTTTCTCTTTCCTTCAGTGACTCTTCTTGTTAACAGCAGGTGTTCATCAGTGTCTAAATTCACTCATTTGTTTTCATCCTCTCTGTCAGTTGAACTATATTGGTAAAATAGTGTAAAGCAGGGGTAGGCAAGTTGGGTCCTAGACAGCTGCTGTCCTGTAGAGTATAGTTCCAACCCTGGAAAAAATAAAATGTTCTCAAAATAATCTTTTCCAAATTTGACCATCTTATATGGCTAGCTTTGTATTGTTTAAACAGTTCCACATGCTCCGGAACTTACACTGATCAATTGTGTTTTCAATCTTGTTTTTATGACTGTAAGTCATTCTCCTCAAATGCTATTGAGCGTTAAATGATGGCATATTTTCCATTCAAGACCATTCGGTAGTGAAAAGTAGCATTTTTTACATATGATTTACAGTTTATTTGAATAAATATCAAACATGTAAAAGGTGTGCATTATAGTTGACACCTGTTGAACACTGTACAGTTGTTTTTATGACTGTAAGTCATTCTCCTCAAATACTATTGACTTTAGAAAAGTGTACACCAATATCACATGTAACTTTAGAGACGGTCCCTAAATTATAGAATCTCGAACATCAAACCAACTTTATGCCAGTTGCTACAGCACTTATATTTTTGCACTGATTGGCTATTAACTGTGAGCAGACAGTGTCAATCAATGCATTGGAGAATACAGTGAACATAAATGAAAAGAAACTACGTTTCTTATCAGGTTTTCCTAACAAGCAACCACATTTTTTAAAATAAGCCCAAAAAACCGCGACCCGGGATTTTTTTCACGCAACTTTACAAAAAAAGAAGCTCAAAGTAGCGTATAATACGCGAATTTGGCAACTCTGGTCACTTGAGGTTGTCCTATGGTTGTTGAGTAACATTCAAATGAGTTGAAGGTCATCCCAGTCAGTGGAGAGTCATTTTCACCGGTCTGTAGCTTTGTTTTCCCCAATATCTTCAGCTTGACCTTGTTCTTATGAAGCGCTGTCTTTGACATTTTAAGAATGGAAGCAACCTGATGCTCACTGTAGCCCTCTGCCAGTAAAGCCAGAACTGAACCCTTCTTTTCCTCACGCAAAACTTTTCTCTTCAACTCTTTTGGCTTGGTCCATTGTTATTTGATTTCAATTACATTTGCGATACTACTAGTTTCTGCCATCCAGCTGGTCATATTGCTAAAGGATAGTGACCACACCATTGGTTTTTATACCAGTACTTCATTAAGCAGAATGAGTTGTGCCTATGTGTTGGAATTCAACAGCCAAAGAATGGCTGCCATACATAGAGATGCTGATTTAAGAAAAATTTGGAGTGGTCTCTATTTTCCAGAGCTGTATATATGAATTGAATTGGGGGTACATAATGCAAATAATATCTTGGACAGGTTCTTGACTGGTTTTGTGAAATTCACCCATGAATAACTTTGGAATAGAAACCAGATATTATTTATCATTCTTTGAAAGAATATCAATTATACATCAAGCGTTTCACATTCACATATTAATGACGCATCCTTGATCAGACACATGCGTTCAGTCCCTGAGGTCTTGTAATGAAACAGAAGCATAACATTTACAACATAAGGCAAAATAGCTCAAAACTTCTCCTGCGGCGGCCAGATGGGATTCGTGCATGAGATTGGGTTTAGTGTACACTGAAGTGTGCACTTCTAATTAATTATTATTATTTTTTTTTTATTATTATTACAAATTAAAGCAAATAAAAAAATACCATAAATCTCCCAAAACTGCCCAAGTGCACAGTAAAAACATTCATAAAGTGAGTGATATTACGTTTGTTTAAAAGATTACATTATTATGTTACAAAATCACATTTTTCTGTCTGGCTACGTGAGCTAGTTGGACAGAAAAAGGAATTTTGTCAGTCTGTGTGTAACAGCACAGCAAGCAACATAGCATAAGGTTAGTGATATTTGTGTTTAGATTTATTGATTTAGAACTGTACTGGTGATCAGCCCATCGCCATGGTTACAGGAATGTAGAATCAGAACCAGATCAACAGCAGCTGCTCACTAACTCCCCCATGGGAAATAAAACTCACACAAGATCTCTTAAAATGTCCTGGATGGTGATGAGATTAAATAAAGATGTTTGTTGAAGTCTCAAGACAATCAGCATTGTCTTGAACTGTCCTCTGAACTGCCAGAGTCTGCAAACAGACATCAGAAATCTTAACATGAAGTTAAACATTGCAAGAGCAAACTGTTTGGACTATGGTAGTAACAAACAAATGTCATGTTTTCGGGTCATTTTGGCCCGGAGTCATTTTTCCCGAAAATGCTAGTTAATGTTATCTCATTGAATTAAAACTTACTGACTTTGCTCACATAGGGTTTAACAAATTCCCCTTCAAAACTGATAATTTTAGTATTTTTGGGGATTTCCCCCACCTTTTTACACTTCTTGTTCTTGGTCAGAAATGACCAGCCTTTTCAAAAATGCTTATGCATTTCTCATTATGCTATATCATTACCAAACATTGGATTTACATTTTTTATTTACTTGTTTTCTTTCAATTAAATTATGTTTAGTATTTCTTTTTGGAACTGATTAATCTTCGGTTTCAATGATCTGAGCTTGTGCACATCAGTTTTTGAGTGAACATTGCCAAAATTAACCACAAATTGTTTTTTTCCCACTCAAAAATTGAAGTACATGAGCTCAGATCAATGAGGCCTACGACCAATCAGCTGCAAAAAGAAATACAAAAGACTGAATCTAATATTTGGTAATGAAATAGCATAATAAAAGACTAGCAAGCAATTTTATTAAAAGCCAGGATAGCAAAAGGGTTAATCCAAAAATGAATATTAACACAATAATACAATTTACTCACCCTCACGTTCTTCCAAACGTGTATGACTTACTTTCTTCATAGGAATGCAACAGGAGAAATTTTAAAGAATGCTTTCCATGAAATAACAATGAAACTGATGGTTTTAAGCAGCAAAAATGACACAAAAGCACCATTAGGCATTATAATAATATTCAATATGACTTGTGCCATATATTCAAAGTCTCTTAAAGTCATTCAGACTGAAATGTAATCATAAAGAAGAAAGTCATATGAGTTTGAAACAGCACGAGTAGTTTTCAGGTTTAAAGTGCTTTATTGGCACGACAAATATTTGCACATTTGCATTGCCAAAGCAATTAAAACTGCAAAATGAAAATAGTGTAAAGCGACGTTTTCATTTTTGGCTGAAATGTTTTTTAAACGAATGTTCTGAAGGCAAGAAATGCGTGGCTCATATTTGTGTTAAAGCGCTTTTATTAAATCTTCCATACAAATATTGTTATTTGAGCTCTAAACTGTCTAAATTGTTTAATTTATTGCCTGACTCGTTTAATTTCACATGAGACATGCCTCCCTCAGAAAATAAATACGCTTGAGAAAAATACCTGTTTCTATGCTTTATTAGCTATTAAAAATTGGCTTTGCATTACATTATGATGATTACAATAATACAACTGCTAAAAGAGCAAACTAAATCAGTGATGTAGATGACAGCAGCGGCGTTATGTGTTTTCTGGGTACAGCGTGAGAACTTCTGCCTCTCCGATCCGCTCTAGAACAGAAAGAAATGCTCATAAACAATAACAGAACATTATGAGAACATAAAGAGAGCATGACTTCAGCCATTAGAGTCTGAGCTGAAATGACCTGTACGGATGCTAGTCATTAAGCTGGAATCCGTTACTATAGAAACTACAAACAGATGCGCTCGACTGCTTGTTTACTAGAATCTGACGTCTGTGTAGTGGACTAATGCTCACTCGATTGCATGCTTCAAGTCCATATATTTTCTCAGAATTTTTAAATGGGCATATGATGTTTATGAATACAGATCTTAACCTCAAAGCTACAGACATTAAGTACAAGCCACAAAACATGAGATTTGATTTAAAGAGATCTTTAACTTGATATTCCATCTTTTGTTAAAGTTTCCATGGTGGAAAAAATGCTACAAATAGAGCCCTTTTCCAAAAGTAGGTTAGTACAATTAAAAATGGATTGTTTTATCCAATTTTGCCTTCTGTTTCTTAATGTTAATCAGGATATTCTAGAGCAGCATTCCATGTATGCTTCAAGAAAAACCACCAGAACACTTTTTCACTGGAGGAAGAGTTATTAGACAGTGTCAACTCGTATTTTAGTTAAAAGCGTCTTAATGCTGGATTTGTCTCAGCTTTTGTCTTCTCCAGATGTTAACTGATGGACTGGAGTGCTGTGGATTACTTGTGGATTATTGTGATGTTTTTATCAGCTGTTTGGACTCTCATTCTGACGGCACCCATTCACTGCAGAGCATCCATTGCTGAGACACTGATGCAATGTTACATTTCTACAAACCTGATGAAGAAACAAACTCATCCTGATCTTGGATGGAGTAAATTTTCATTTTGGGTAAACTATTCCTTTGGCTGCAATACATGACACGATTTTAAAACACACACTTGCCCACTTTGTAGGTGGTTACAGAGGAGCAAACACTACAGACAACAAACAAACACAGAAACATGCACCTCATTGCTAGGAGACGCATGACAGATGAAAACAATAAATGTTCTAAAATTGTCTCACAATCACAATGTTTGATCTTCTCTGACTGGATGGAATCATAGACTGATGTTAAAATCCAGAGTCTGTGTCCATTACACACTGACTCCTCCAGACTGCAAAATGGGGAAAAATGTGGGCAAATCCTTAAAAATAAACACTATAAAAAGCAGCATTTTGGGTTCCTTTCAGTGAACGGTTCTTGAAAGAAACATTGTTCTTCTTAGTGTGAGGGACATTTTAATAATCTAAAGATCCCTTTGTCCAGTGGAAAGATTCCATGGATGTTAAAGCTTCAATGCCAATAAACAACCTTTATTTTTAAGAGTGTTTTCCCGTCTTTCCAGCTGTCTGTGTAGACCAGGGTTCCTCAATGCCTGTCCTGAATGCCCTGATGCAGGCAATAGACTTACTAAAGTTTGAAACGGAGCCAAATTGTGTTTTAATAAAAGTTGAGAGCAATATTTCTGCTCTCTACCAAAAGCAGCCCATGTGAAATAATGAACTCAATCCTCTCAGAATGACAATGGCGTATTAATAACGCTCCAATTCACATCAGTGCACAATACATCTGACACAAGTACAGAAAGCTCACCTGGTTTGTCCTGTAACGGCTCTGCGGGATGTGAACTGTGCAAAAATCAAATAATAAATCTCATTGAAACAATTATTATGACAGTCACATAATCAGATGCAGGTAAAAATATAGGGCAACACTTCAGAATACTGAAGCAATGAGTAACACAGTATTAACATTCTAGTAACTAATATTAACTAACAAGAAACTATGATTAATTAATTAATCAGTAATAGCACTACTAGTTTACTATTAGTTATTATCCTTCAGAAGGAATTACTGTCCATAAACAACCATTACAAAACCCTCAAATGCTTACAATGACTTATGACTTTACTCGAGAGTAATGCATTTCACTTTAGAATAAATAAATAATCATTAATTAGTAATGATTAATATATATATATATATAGTATATATATATATAAAAAAGCTGTAAAGTACCTGATTACTTCTGTGCAGTAATCAGATTCCAAAGATTTTAGTATATTATTATAATTAGAGTATATTACATTTTATAATGCTCATAATCAGATTAGAGTTACTTTTTTATGGATTACATGATTACATATTATTCACACAATGGCAGTAAATTATTCATAATTTATTGATTCTCCCTGATTCCTCTATTTATTTATTTTTTCAAAGTTGTAAATAAATTATTGGAGAACATTTTACGAGAAAATACTATTTCTGTGTTTCTACTTCAAAATTTCATGTTTAATTGAGTGTTACTTGCAGCATTTTTGCAATTATTTGTGAAGCTTACTAACGATTTCTGAGTGAAAATTGTTTCTATGCCAGTTTTTTTTCAGGGTACTAGTTGGACTAGTCAGTTACCACTTTATAAACTGCAAAAAATTATGCTTGCTTAGTATTTTTTGTCTTGTTTTCCAAACAAACAAAAATCAGCTCTAAAAATTCTTAGATCAAGATTACTTGAAAAGCAAAATTACTTCTGATATTTTGTCTTGTAAAATTATTGTGGTATTTTTGGTTGTTTTTTGGGGGGGGGGGGGAAATCATCAAAATTAAGTGAGTTAAAAGAAAAATATCTATTGATGGGATCAGAAAAAAAACTTAAACATGATTATTTTTCTGACGACATGTTTTTGCTCGTTTTAATTTTAAGCATAAACTCAGTTAATTTGATCTATTTGACAGTAAATAATACTTAATTCATTTAACTGTGTTTCTACTTCAAAATTTCATGTTTAATTGAGTGTTACTTGCAGCATTTTTGCAATTATTTGTGAAGCTTACTAACGATTTCTGAGTGAAAATTGTTTCTATGCCAGTTTTTTTTCAGGGTACTAGTTGGACTAGTCAGTTACCACTTTATAAACTGCAAAAAATTACATCATAATCTTGTTTTCCAAACAAACAAAAATCAGCTCTAAAAATTCTTATATCAAGATTACTTGAAAAGCAAAATTACTTCTGATATTTTGTCTTGTTTTCTGGGGGGGGGGGGATCATCAAAATTAAGTGAGTTAAAAGAAAAATATCTATTGATGGGATCAGAAAAAAAACTTAAATATGATTATTTTTCTGACGACAGATGTTTTTGCTCATTTTAATTTTAAGCATAAACTGTTAATTTTGATCTATTTTACAGTAAACAATACTTATTATTTACTTCTCAAGTAAATGTATCTTGATTTAAGAATGTTTAGATATTTGTACTGAAAAACAAAAAAAAATACTGAGGAAGAAATTAATTTTTTTGCACTGTGGAATTATGAAACTTCATATGGTTTCTTAGTAGTTCTTTGAGAGTTATGAAAAAATAGTACTGATTAACTACCACACTCAGCTGAGTGCTATTACTTGTTTGTTAACCAGAGTTTCTTGTTAGTTCATAGAAGTTACTAGAATGCTGCATTTCCATTTATTCCTTTTTATTTATTCATTAATGACAGAACAGTATTTTAAAGTGTTTTCACTGATAGTAAGACAGCAGCTGTAAACCCTGCAGGAAGCACTCACCTGCTCTTCCTTCGGCTGACAGACGAGCTGAGGAACACGTGATCAGGCAGATCTTCAGACATCAAAGGCAGAAGTTCTGGTCCAGACGTCTGCTGGGTCAGAGAGCTGGATTCGGCCATGGCCTGCTGGAGTAACCCCTGAACCAGCTCTTTCTCTGAGAACAGAGAACACATCTAATGAGCCTTCATTAGCACATCCATCTGCAGGACACAAGCGGCCCGTGTTGAAGTGTTAAACTCACTGATGTTTCTATAATGGAAACTAATAGGAATGTTTGAGCTGCCCTGCTGTGTTTGTAGTGCATTGTGTATTTTTGATGGTGGTGGTGATTATTTTAAGAGAAGATCTCATAAGTAACTTGAATAAATTGAGACAAAGTGCAAATGAAACAATTTTTTCTCATGACAAATTAAATGCATAAAACTATGTAAGCTTGAGATTGTCACAATTGTTATTTTTTTCCCCTTGCATTTCTGACTTTACATCTCACAATTCTGAGTTTACCTCTCGAAATTCTGACTTTACATCTCACAATTCAGTTTACATCTCACAATTCCGAGTTTACATCTCATAATTCTGACTTTACATCTCGCAATTCTGACTTTACACCTCACAAATTCTGACTTTACATCTCACAATTCTGACTTTACATCTCTCAATTCAGACTTTACATCTCACAATTCTGACTTTACATTTCGTAATTCTGACTTTACATCTTGTAATTCCGACAATTCTGACTTTACATCTCACAATTCTGACTTTACATCTCATAATTCTGACAATTCTGACTTTACATTTCGTAATTCTGACTTTACATCTCGTAATTCCGACAATTCTGACTTTACATCTCTCAATTCTGACTTTACATCTCACAATTCTGACTTTACATCTCATAATTCTGACTTTACATCTCACAATTCAGACTTTACATCTCACAATTCTGACTTTACATCTCTCAATTCAGACTTTACATCTCTCAATTCAGACTTTACATCTCTCAATTCAGACTTTACATCTCTCAATTCAGACTTTACATCTCTCAATTCAGACTTTACATCTCTCAATTCAGACTTTTTTCTCACAGTTGCAAGTTTAAAGTAAAAAAACTTTAGAGTAAAAAAGTCTAAATTGTGAGAGAAAAATCGTAATTACCTTTTTTATTTTTTTAATCCCGTGGCAGAAACAAGCTTCCATACACAATAAACTTTTATCACTAAGGTGAAAATATGTGATAAAATAAAATTTTCCTGTATCAGAAATTATCTTTGGTGGCTTACGTACACAGTAATGCACATGCATGAAGGTGGTTTATTACATAATTGCAATGAATTAATAGTTAAAATAGTAAGAACAATCACATTTTATGTTTGCAAACATTTTGATCTCAACAAAGAATTTTCTACTTCAAAGATCAATGTGAAGTCAACAGGGAAGTCACTTATTTACATAAGACTACAATATTCTGACCAATTCACTTTACAACCATTTTTGAACAGATATTATATTAAGCCTTTAGAAGTCATCAGTACTTTCAGTCTATCATCTGGGAAGAGAAAAAAAGATTGTGCATTTTGCATCACTTGCTGAAAGTTTACTTTGTCAGCATTTAGGATAGTAGCATAAAGGTCTTTATATGCTCTCTAAAGCAGATCATTCACCATGTATCAGTCAATTATTTGTTGAACTGCTAATAAATAAATCAATTAAAGCAAAGGGCAGTTGTTCACCTTTTTTACTTGCCAACAAAAGCCACTGCTGAACCATTGAGAGAGAATCAGTCTGCAGGATCTGACACAAAAGCTCCAGCACCTAAGAAATATATAGAGTTATTTTAGTACAATTGAGATATTATACACACACACATACACACACACACACACACACACATATATATATATATATTCATTGAAGTTTTAGTAATTTATGTTTTTGTAATTTTTATTAGTCATGTTATATATATATATATATATATATAATGCACTTTTTAGATTGCAGACTCATTGTATTTTTATCATTTCAATTTGTAGTTAGTTACATGGTTATCCACATCACATTGCATGTTTAATTCAACAAGAGCAATAAACACACTTTTTAAATCAATTTTGTGTAGAAATGTCTAAAGTTTTGGCAGTCCAATCAAATGAGTCAAAGAAACTGATAACAATTTACAGTTCATTCATCACAAAGAAAATAAAAAAACAAGTCGTGTACATTGCACTGAGAGTAAAAATATCAAACAAAGTTTGAAATAATAATAAATGTTTTTGAAAGTAGCCTCTTCTGCTCGCAAGGCTGCAAAAATACAGTAAAAACAGTGATATTTTAAAACAACTTTTCTAATTGAATGTATTTAAAAATTTAATTTATTCCTGTGATGACAGTAATGGCTGCTGAAAATTCAGCTTTGCATCACAAGAATAAATTGCATTTTAAAATATATTCACATAGAAAACTGTTCTTTTAAATAGTAATCATATTTCACAATATTACAGATTTTTACTGAATTTTTGATCAAATAAATTCAGAGACTTCTTTCAAAAAAGTCTTATTCCAAACTTTTGACTGGTTGTGTATTTCAGTTTGATATTTTATTTCCATAAAATATCAAAGAAACATTTCCTAGAAACATAAAAAAATCAAGTTTTAACCTTAATCATTTGGAATTAAGGCAAGTATGACATGACCTGAACGCCACATGCAATCTGTCGTAAAAACCAGGTCATGCCTTTACCAATAATGTGACATAATGGCATTTCCTTTCTTACATCTGCCAATATTGTGTTCTAACCAGATGCAATGTGAAAGTTTCATGTTCACTATCAAACTGTGACATGCACGTGTTTAGCAAGGTCAGTAAATAAGCACAGGTGTGTTACCTTGAGCTCCACTCCCTCCAGGCTTTGCGTCTGCCATCGCTGGGCTCGTTTGTGTGAAGTCCTGCTGTTGCGCTTCTTCCCTCCCCAGGACGAAGCAGGGATGATCCGGCCGGACTGCGCCGAATACTGCGTCTTCCTGCGAGGAACTTCCTCATCTGTGAGTTTCTTTGAGTTTAATCACAGACAAACACAAAGGCTGGATGCATTCAGGCTTCTACAATGAATTTATTTGATTTACTCAGCACTATCTAATATAATAAGTCCCCTCATTCAGAACCTGATGCATGTGCATCAATCCACCTTTTGCCTAACGAGAGGTTTTTCAATTCTGGTTAGCATTTCTGGTTTGGGGAAGGTTTCAAATCCTTTGCCAATTCAACCACATGAATTGACAGGGACATGATAGCAACAGAGTAGATGAGGAATAAAGTCTCTTGAACTAAAATTGGAATAACATCATCCAAAATTTTATTCTGGTACTCAACATAGGGCTGTAAATTGCAACTTAACATGGCAATATACGGTGAAAATTCTTATTTGGGTCATATTCCAAGACGTAGGCTAGAATCTGTGATTGCGAAGTAAGGTTACAGTAAATATCCACAGCGGTGCGGTGACTGACTGCCACACATACTCTTCGAAACATTAGATTCATCCACAACTTCTCCTGAGGGAGAATTAGTCAAATTAATCAAATTAAATGTATTGAAAATCACTCAATAGTAGTAAAATCTCTGATATCACATTATTTAGTCTTAACAAACACAGCTTATAGCTTGGTTTTATTTTAGATTTTACAAAAATTACTACACACTTATATGATTCTCAGTCTTTGTCTTTAAGCAGACAGACAAACATGAAGAGACCATGAATCTAAAACAACACGTGTACTTTGCATTTGCTCTGGGTTTGCCCAACCCCCAAACTTTCTCATACTCAAAGATTCTTGAAAGAATGCACTTAGTGACATCTCAGCTCATAAACAAAAGGAAATTGTGTCCAATTCCACATTGTAGTCACAAAAATCTTCAGATTGAGGAATGATTTGACCCATGCTTTCAGTATGTGCTTGCAGTTCATTGAATGTTCACAGCAGCAAAACCTGTAACTGGTTTCCAGTTTGGCCTGCTGCTGCGCACACAATGCACATGCCTGGACTGCTGTAGCCACAGGGCCAAATCAAAGGTGTATCTTCAAAAAGATCAGTGAGGTGATAACCAGTCATTCTGAACAAGTTGCTCAGGAGGCCCTCCAGAGACCAGTAATAAACTATTTTAATTTATACTATTTTTAATGTAATAGATCTCATATTATAACAACCTTATAATATATTATATTACAATGGCCAGGAATGGCCTTTAATCTCATGATGATTCGGCATTGATTTAGAAGAAGAAAGAAAGTTGCAGAAGAATAAGAAGAATGATCAGAATGTAGAAAGAGGGAATACGTACGTAGAAAGAAGTTGGAAGCACTATTAGTGCTGGGAAAAGAGATCAACAGAAGGTGGTAAAAAGCAAGAACTGTTAGGAAAGGAATAATTATCAAACTAGTGAGAAAATAACTTATTTATCTTTTATTTGGGCAAAAAGTCTTCAATGAGAAAAGTTAACATGTCCAGGATTTACCAACTAAAATGATTAGTCTGATTGCAGTATCTTGAATAGGCCAAATCCATCCAAGGCCATAAGATGATTTAAAGTCCCCATGAAATCAAAATTAAAGTTTTTTGGGTGTTAGTATCAATATGTTAGTCTTAAGGTTAACAGTGACAAAATTCGCGAGATGGGTGTGGAGATACTACAAGGGGTCATTCACACCTCAGCAGTGCACAAGTAATTACATGACCTCCCAGTGTAGCACTGGAACTAAATTATACAACACAGATCATGGTAGGCTAAACATCACTCCCATACACAAACATACACACAAACATACAGAACACACTTTCATCATTGCAACTGCACAATATGCTTACCTGGTATTGAACATAAGGACATCCGGGTCTAAATTACTCACATCATTCAAATCTATAACGCATGATTGACTTCATACATATAGGTCAAAAGAAATTATTTTCAATTATGGCAAACATTTGTGCAATTTTAAAATCTTGTGCAAATTTTATGGTCTTATGAACTTATTGTATGTAAACACTGTAATGTGCATAGATCTTGCATGGCTAGTCACACATCAATTAATTCTAATTATATTTAAATTTCTATAATGAGACCTATTCAGCAATGCTTAGGAAAAAATATTGATCATGTCCAATCATTAACATTGTTGCAAACTAGGAGGCCCACTAGTTTACAACATATGTCTAATGACAATACAAAATTATCTAAATAAATAAGATATGATCATTTTTAATTAAACCTGCATTATCAAGTGTGACCTAGCTTGCACATCAAACGCACAGAGGATGATCGAAAATAGCTAAACTACAGATTTTGAATCTCTGTTTCTGTTAATCTCATTCTCTTACTGACCTACTTGAAACCTTAGGTCTGCATTAACGATTTGCTTTTAAAGCAATTTATATAGACAATTTTATAATTGTAATTATGAGATTGTGTATTTCTGTTTAATTATGTGACATTTTAATTATGCACACCACTGGTAAATATACTAGTTATTTTATTTTGCTACTTCCCTTTATTCATCCAGACCAAGTATCTAAATCTACATTTGAATACATAATAGTAAACAATCTAGCAATCAAATGAGACCTGCACACTAAATATATGACTCTGATAAATTGAAACCTTATTTACTAGTCACACTTCTGACATGATTGTTATTTTGTGGTTTTGTGTTTATCTTATAACCCTCCTCTCATCCCACAACATCACCAAAGTCATCAGTGTTCAGATATTGCATGGTCATTCAGAGGTTGTTTAAGATGTCTTGCACGCATTGGAGCATCGTCAGTGAAATTATTTCTTCACCTATGGAGATCTGACAAACCCTGCAATTCACACCCTCTACCTGAAGGTGACAGAAGGCTTCTCAGGCCACACATACTCTTCGAAACATTAGATTCATCCACAACTTCTCCTGAGGGAGAATTAGTCAAATTAATCAAATTAAATGTATTGAAAATCACTCAATAGTAGTAAAATCTCTGATATCACATTATTTAGTCTTAACAAACACAGCTTATAGCTTGGTTTTATTTTAGATTTTACAAAAATTACTACACACTTATATGATTCTCAGTCTTTGTCTTTAAGCAGACAGACAAACATGAAGAGACCATGAATCTAAAACAACACGTGTACTTTGCATTTGCTCTGGGTTTGCCCAACCCCCAAACTTTCTCATACTCAAAGATTCTTGAAAGAATGCACTTAGTGACATCTCAGCTCATAAACAAAAGGAAATTGTGTCCAATTCCACATTGTAGTCACAAAAATCTTCAGATTGAGGAATGATTTGACCCATGCTTTCAGTATGTGCTTGCAGTTCATTGAATGTTCACAGCAGCAAAACCTGTAACTGGTTTCCAGTTTGGCCTGCTGCTGCGCACACAATGCACATGCCTGGACTGCTGTAGCCACAGGGCCAAATCAAAGGTGTATCTTCAAAAAGATCAGTGAGGTGATAACCAGTCATTCTGAACAAGTTGCTCAGGAGGCCCTCCAGAGACCAGTAATAAACTATTTTAATTTATACTATTTTTAATGTAATAGATCTCATATTATAACAACCTTATAATATATTATATTACAATGGCCAGGAATGGCCTTTAATCTCATGATGATTCGGCATTGATTTAGAAGAAGAAAGAAAGTTGCAGAAGAATAAGAAGAATGATCAGAATGTAGAAAGAGGGAATACGTACGTAGAAAGAAGTTGGAAGCACTATTAGTGCTGGGAAAAGAGATCAACAGAAGGTGGTAAAAAGCAAGAACTGTTAGGAAAGGAATAATTATCAAACTAGTGAGAAAATAACTTATTTATCTTTTATTTGGGCAAAAAGTCTTCAATGAGAAAAGTTAACATGTCCAGGATTTACCAACTAAAATGATTAGTCTGATTGCAGTATCTTGAATAGGCCAAATCCATCCAAGGCCATAAGATGATTTAAAGTCCCCATGAAATCAAAATTAAAGTTTTTTGGGTGTTAGTATCAATATGTTAGTCTTAAGGTTAACAGTGACAAAATTCGCGAGATGGGTGTGGAGATACTACAAGGGGTCATTCACACCTCAGCAGTGCACAAGTAATTACATGACCTCCCAGTGTAGCACTGGAACTAAATTATACAACACAGATCATGGTAGGCTAAACATCACTCCCATACACAAACATACACACAAACATACAGAACACACTTTCATCATTGCAACTGCACAATATGCTTACCTGGTATTGAACATAAGGACATCCGGGTCTAAATTACTCACATCATTCAAATCTATAACGCATGATTGACTTCATACATATAGGTCAAAATAAATTATTTTCAATTATGGCAAACATTTGTGCAATTTTAAAATCTTGTGCAAATTTTATGGTCTTATTAACTTATTGTATGTAAACACTGTAATGTGCATAGATCTTGCATGGCTAGTCACACATCAATTAATTCTAATTATATTTAAAATTCTATAATGAGACCTATTCAGCAATGCTTAGGAAAAAATATTGATCATGTCCAATCATTAACATTGTTGCAAACTAAGAGGCCCACTAGTTTACAACATATGTCTAATGACAATACAAAATTATCTAAATAAATAAGATATGATCATTTTTAATTAAACCTGCATTATCAAGTGTGAGCTAGCTTGCACATCAAATGCACAGAGGATGATCGAAAATAGCTAAACTACAGATTTTGAATCTCTGTTTCTGTTAATCTCATTCTCTTACTGACCTACTTGAAACCTTAGGTCTGCATCAATGATTTGCTTTTAAAGCAATTTATATAGACAATTTTATCACTGTAATTATGAGATTGTGTATTTCTGTTTAATTATGTGACATTTTAATTATGCATACCACTGGTAAATATACTAGTTATTTTATTTTGCTACTTCCCTTTATTCATCCAGACCAAGTATCTAAATCTACATTTGAATACATAATAGTAAACAATCTAGCAATCAAATGAGACCTGCACACTAAATAAATGACTCTGATAAATTGAAACCTTA